GCCCAGGCTGGCCTCGAACTCACAGAGATCCGCCTGGCTCTGCCTCCCGAGTGCTGGGATTAAAGGCGTGCGCCACCACCGCCCGGCTCTTTCTTTCTTTCTTTCTTTCTTTCTTTCTTTTTTAAGTGGTGAAAAGAGGACAGGAAGATGAGGAGGGTAGGGATGGATCTGGGAGGAGTTAGGGGAAGTAGTTGAGGGTAAATATGATCAAATACTTCATATGGAATTATAAAATAATTAACAGAACCCTTTTAAAAATATCCAGCAGGGAGCTGAAGGGGCGAGGAGATAAAGGGTCTAGGGGATTTGGAATATGTAGAGGAATCTTTTGAAGAGAGAGTGTGACTGACAGTACAGTCCCTCCTCCCCAGCTAATCCAGCAGTCTAGCTCCTTGGGTTTTGATGCACTCAAGGAAACCATTGTCTATTTCTTGGCTTTCTAGAGCTCTGCTCAAGTGGTCCTTGAATACACTCTTGGGATAATTGTGCTTCTCTGTGTCACTGCTCTGTGTGCTGCTGAAATGGAACTGAACCTTGTTTGCCGGCCCCTGCCGATGTTCCTCTTCCACTAGCCCAGGCGTTCATTTAAAAGAGCTCCGTTTGAAATATGGTATTGCCACTTAATTAGCATTGCGATATGGAACAAATTAGTAAAATTCTCAAAGCCTCTGTTTTTGCACTTGTGAAGTGAGGGGAAAAAAGCTTCTGCATTGAAAAGTTATAATGGTCATTTAATACATGGACTATTTTTCTGTGTAGTGTTTGGCATATTGAGTGCTTCAAAGATGTCTGCTTCTTGTCTCTTCTTTCTCCATTATATCTGAGGAGTCCCATAATCTCCTGCATTCACTTTAGCACCTCATGGGACTTCATTCCATCCAATATCAATAGTAGTAGAGAAGAGAGGAGATAAAGAGATCTGTCCATGGAAAGGCAATGAATAGTGGCTGTTTATTCAACTCCATCCTGACTTTGCGGCAGAGATAGCTTGATGTAGACAGTATCTCAAAATAGGAAAAGTATTTAGATATTGGATAGAAATTCTTTCTAAGCCAAGAAATATGAGTAAAACATTATGACAACTATGTGAAAAAATATCTACACATTCATATGTTTCATGTGAAAATAGATCTGCACATTCACATATTTAAAATCAGAAGGGAACAAGGAAAATGGAAAACATTTTAAGCCAGTAGAAATATGTTGTTGCACTGGAATCTTAATATTATTGTGCCTGTGGAAGAGGATCTTCTTTCCTTGAGACACATGAATCTTCTTGCCTTTTTTTTGAAAGAACAGCAGGAGGACAGGGTGCTGGAGTAAAGAGATTTGCATGGTGGGAATAACATTGCCCCATCTCATCTGTCCTGCCCAGCCTTCTATTAACCATCATCACCTACCAGAGGCCCGGAGAGCTTCCTATCTGTGGTGCTTCAATGCCCTTACACCATTAATATCATCATCTCTACTCTTCTTCTAGGAGTGGATCTTATCGAGGGAGGTATGGAAGAAGTTGTGCATGTTTAGCTGTCAGTCCGAACCTTTGAGAGCCAGCAGGGGACAAAGGCAACAATCACTGTCTAATACTTTGGACTTTCTTGGCAGGTGAATACTGCTATGCATGAGGCAAAACTTATGGAAGAATGTGACGAGTTGGTAGAGATTATCCAGCAGAGGAAGCAAATGATTGCTGTTAAAATCAAAGAGACAAAGGTAAAACCACAGTGCTTCAGTGAAACCAAGGTGCAGTTGACTTTTGACAAGAGTTGGAGTTAATTTCTGATGATTGCTGTTTGAAATTGAATCATAAAATCCAAAAGAAATGAGGTCATAGGGAGAGATACCAAGTAGTAATATTTGGCCTTTGCCGAGTCTGATAAAAAATGATGGCAGCTCTGGGTGCTGCAAACATTCTATGCTTTGACCTGGATGTTGGCTGTGTGTGTGTGTGTGTGTGTGTGTGTGTGTGTGTGTGTGTGTGTGATCATTTACTTAGGATTTAGTTGCTTTACTTTAGCATGTTTTCAGTTTATTTTTTTAACCTTTATTTTGTGTGTATGGGTGTTTTGCCTGGATATATGTCTATATATCATGTGCATGAAGTGCACTTGGAGGCCATTGGATCTCTTGGGACTGAAGTTAAGGTTGGTTATGGGCCAGCATGTGGGTGCTGAGAATAGGACCCAGGTCTTCTGGAAGAGTAATCATTGCTCTTAACCACTAAGCCATCTCTCCAGCTCCCTCCTCTCACATTTTAAGGTAATAAAGATAAATAAATAATCGTAGAAACATAGGTTTGGATTCTAGAATAAATGTGACTGCAATCTTGACTGCTTGGAACTTACAAAATGTGTTGGTAAATTATTGTGACTCTGTGGGAAGGATGCAATCTGATATGGTAGAGGTGGGCATGGTAGATCAGAACATAATGCTGCTGAAGCCAGGAAAGCAAGTTTGGAGACATACAATGATTTCTGGTATGACTTCTGGAAGATGTAAAGCAGACTAGTGATAGAACATATGGAAAGGAAAAGCATAATAATTGCTAGAGAGAGAATAGTATCATTTAACTTATTAGATATAATAGATGAAAGGGAGAGAACAGAGTCAAATAGCTGAAGATTTCTAAGCAGGGAACTGAAGAGTAAGGGTTAAAAAGGGATCAGGTTAGAGTCTCCATGCAGCTTCTGTATGTTTTTTGGCTTGTTGGCCTGCTGGTAAATGATAGTGATTATAAACCCTTGCTGTGGGTACAATGGGAAATGTTGCAAGTACCTCATTTGATGACCAATACTTTGTGCCATGCTGGGTGGTTCCAGCTAACATGAACTGAAGTTTCCAAGAATACATTGTGGTAGGTGTAAAGACACTTAGAGAAATATATGCAGCTACTCATAAATAAAAATGAGCTACTTTTGTTAAATGTGTGCAAAAATATATTGCCAATATAATGTAAACAATGGTGATCTCTAGGTGGTAGAATTTCTTTTTATGTTTGTACTTATTTTTGTAATTAACACACATTGCTTTTACATTCAGAACAATGTTATTAATACAAAGAGAAGGTAGATAACAGAGAAATGGCTGAGTGCAAAGTAAATAATCAAGATATAGTTTGGGCGAGAGACTTAGCAGCCGGGATGAGAAGGTGAACAGTTGATGCAGGAGCCATGGGATATTAATAACCCTCACTTTTATAATCACTGGGGCAGATCTCCTTCATGTTATTTTATTGTTTTTAATTAAGCACAGTATGTTTTATCTCATCTTTTCTCTTACCAATCTTTTAAGGTTATGAAACTGAGAAAATTGGCACAGCAGGTTGCTAATTGCCGCCAGTGTCTTGAACGGTCAACAGTCCTCATCAACCAAGCTGAGCACATCTTGAAAGAAAATGACCAAGCACGGTTTCTACAATCTGCAAGAAATATCGCTGAAAGGTACATATGCTCCTTATACTCTTTTGAAATGCCTGCTCTTGTGAAAAGGGGTGGCTCAAACTCACTTAATTCTCTTCAGCCATTGTATAGTAGCTGCCCCCTGAAGATTTTTACCAGCTAGGTCATTATTGAGCCTCGGTGATAAATTACCCTGCAGATTTCTGGACCCTTTTCACTGTCTTTGCTGTCTGCCAGCTGTTTTAATGCACAGCCTTAAGCTTCCTGCTAGGTCTTGAGCAATCTGTTACTGTTGTGGTGTATGAGAAGAGAAACACTGGATTACATTGGTAGGATGTGTCTTTCCTAAGCCTGTGCACTTTAAAAAAATCAAATTCACCCCTATTCTCTTGCCTCCAACTTCTCTCCTATGCCTTTATTCTACTTTTCCCTCCCTACTTCATGTGTTCTCTTTTTTTTCAAAACTACTGAGTTCACTTCTTGTCTGTATGTGTGTTGGTGTATGTAAAGTTTTCATTGTTTGCACTTAGGTTTTTTTTTGCATAAATTCCTTAGAATAGTAATTCTTCAGCTTTTTTTTAATCACTTGGTCTTTAGAAAATTAATGTCATGAGCATTGTTCCAGAGTGTCAAAGAACTCATGGGTCATTAACAGACTATCTATTGGCCCAGAGTCAATGCTTTAAAGTAAATAATTGTCTAGTACAGCCACCAATTCAAGGGGCTGCAGTAGACCATTAGGCCATATTGTGGGGATTTATTAAGGCAACTCCACATACTTAAAAAGGAGGTTTATTTTGGGGGTAACTTACAGCTAGTAAAGGTGTTGGTTACAGGATCCGGAAGAGGTGAGGTGCAGTCTAGCTGGGTTCTCTGGAGAACTCCACTCGGTCTACTATCCAGCATCCAGGATCACCAGGAACCCAGAGAGCCGGCATATCTAGATCTTGGGTCTTAAGGCCCTGCCTCAGATAGGCGTGACAGTTACCAGAAGCCTCACTGGGGGTAGTACTTTCAGGTCAAAGATGGAACAGCTAGCTACCCACTACAAGACCAGATATGATCTCTTTTACAAATTTCCCTCTTATTCACTGAAGACTTTTGGTTTTTAAGTTCATGGTCTTCCTCCTATTGGTACTGTCATCACTCTGGGAAAGTTCATTCAGACAACTAACCCATGTAATACTCTAACCGCCTAGCCATCCACCTTCTCTGACATCTTCCCCAGAGACTTCCAACTTGGATTCATTTCATCCACTTATTTTTCTGGACCGCAATGTCCAGTCATTATCATCCCTCAGAATCACACAATCTTCAACTAAAACATCACATTTTCTAACCACAACCTCTTCTTAAATTCAACGTTATTGAGACCTCTAAGTCTTGAATCATATACTTCCCTATTTTGTACAAGTGACACTTATCTCTACTTTGTTCTAAGCTTACTTGGGCTTTGTGATTTATCACTTTAGCCAATCTTTTTTTTTCCCCCCAGTTCACCTTCCCATTACCCTTCAGATAATCAGTCTGACAAAATCCCAAACCTGAATCAGTCTACCTTTTTTCATGCCTGTATTGTACTTTCTGAATTTTTGGAAAATCACACAACAATCACAGGACTGAGTGTGCAGTACTGACCTAACTCTTTCTGTGTTGCTATGGTCTGCTTTCTTTTCAACCTATCTCCATCATGCTATTTCAAATCTTACGTACTCACCTTAAATTTCAACACTGCCATGTTTCTACTCACGTTTACTAAATTGTATAGATAATGGTCGGTATAAAATGACTTCTCATATCAAATTTCTAGACATAGCTATGTCTACATTCCTTACTTCCACCTTCCTTCTGGTACTAATAAAAGATTTGTCTTCTCATTTGTGATTTAGTTATGTGCATCCTGGTTTCTTATAGCTTCAGTTTTCCACACAGTTGATGGTTTCACATCTACTTTTATGCCCACTAATGTCTCTATAGCCTAAAAACAAAATAAAAGCCCATAATTTTCTTCTACCTCATACCGTCTCTAGTTGTCACCGGATTTCCCTTCTCTTTGCGGACAACTGTTTTCTATTTCCTCACTCTTTACTTTCATTAAATGTTAAATCTTGTTTGCATAAAAGTGATACTTTGTATATAGTTAGAATGTAAAATATAGAAACATCACTCTCCTATTATCCGCTTTCTGCTCTCCGATGATGATGGTGATGATGATAACAAGTTATTTTATTTTGGGCACCTATTTTAACCCTTTATTAGTATTAACACAAAGAACTCTTACAAAAATTTTATAAGGTAGATATTAATATTTCCTGATTTTACAAATGAGACCATAAAACTTAATAAGCTTAAATAACTTGCCTAAGATCACCCAGCTAGTGAGGGACAGAGGCAGTGTTCAAATCTGAGGAGTTTTGCACCATTATCTACAATGTTGCAACAACACCAAGCAATTTAAATTCTGTTAGATATTCCTATTGATATGACATTGACATTGATATTTTATCTATTCTTCATTTTAGATATTGACTTCTAAAAATTTGGCAATATTTTCAGTAACTATTTTGTCAAACATTTTAGCTTGCCTCCTTATTTTTTGAAAACTCCAATTATATGTTTATTAAGATGTTTGATATTGTCCTGTAGTTCACTGATGTTCTAGGGAGATTTTAGGGTTTTTTCTTCTGTGTGTTTCTGTTGATATTTTTCTAGTTCATTAGAATTTTGGTGTATAATGTTTAATCTTCTATTGACCCTTTGAATATATTTTTCATCTTAGATATTGCAGTTTTCATCTCTAGCAGATTGATTTGGGTCATTTCCAAATATCTTCCATCTCTGTAGGTTATATGTTGAATAATGCTGCAATGAACATATGACTGCAGATAGGTTTTTGACATAATGACTTTTTCCTTTGAGAAGTAAGAATATTGGATCATATAACAGTTCTATTTTTCATTTTCTGAGGAAGCTCCATGAAATTTGCTAAAATATATATAATAGCTACACTAATTTACATTCTCATCAACAGTACACAAGGATTCCTTTTCCTGATATTTTTATCAACTTTTATGATTATTTTTTAAAATGATTGCCATCAAAGCCTACAAACTCAGATTTTCCAAAATTTTGCCAAATTGTGTCTTGGTTATTTGTTCTTGGTCATTTTTACTAGACACAAGTGACTTTAAGTTATGGGATCTTGTCTTCTTTGTTCATCTTTCTCCCTTTTATATTCTCTCTTACTCTTTTTCTAGGAGTATAATTAACTAGATAGTGGGCATCTAAGATTTTTCCTCTAATTGAAAAACAAAATTTTATCTGAGCCTTGTAATGTAGTCCAGTAATTCCAACTATTAGGGAGGCAGAGACAAAAGGATTGAAAGTTCAAGTCCCGTTTGGGCTGTACTGAGTTGAAGGTCAACCTAAACAGGTTTAGTGCAATCTATCTCAAAGTAAAATGTAAAAAGAGTACTGAGGATGTAGCTCAGCCAGTTCCTACTACCACAAAAATGCCAAATAGCTGTTTCTTGTTTTCCATGATTTTCTTCCTCTTTCTATTTCTGCAACATTTATTTAAATTGCCTTTCATTTTTCATTTCATTAAAAGATACTCATTTTTCAAATAAGTATTTATTGATCATTGAGCACATTTGCCCTAAATCCCTCCATTTTCTCAGTGCTCTCTTCTGTTGGTCTCTTTTGTTCTTGAAAATTTCATCCCCATAGGAGGAATTACCCTTTCTGAGTAGATGGGGGGTGGGTAGGAAGGAGGTAGGGGGAGGGAACTGGAGAAGGAAAAACTGTGGTTGGTATGTGAAATAAATAAATGAATGAATGAATGAATGAATGAAAGCTTCACTTCCACTTTCATGTCATACATGATTTTATGAATCTGTATGAAATCTAGAAACCACAAATGAGAGGAAAGCATATGATGCTTTTTGAGACTGGCTTCATTTGCTTAATATGAATATCTCTAGTTGCCTTTATTTTCCAACCAATAAAATAGCTTCATTTTTCTTTATGGCCCCCAAAATACATTAATATATGCGTTAAACACACATGTGCATATATATCATATTTTCTTCATTCTCCTGTTGTTGGGCACCTAGGTTGATTCCATAACTAGACTATTATGAATAGTGCTACAGTAAACATTGATATACAAGAATCTCTGTGATATGTTGACTTGGAGTCCTTGGGGTAAATACCCAGGAATGTTATAGCTGGGTCATATGGTAGATCTATTTTTGATTCTTGAGTAGCCTCCATACTGATTTTTATAACTAGTTTACATTCCCACTAGCACTATATAAGAGTTTCCTTTTATCCATCTCCTGGCCAGAATTTATCATTTTTTAAATGGCTATCATTCTGACTTGGATAAGATGTAATCACAATGTAGTTTTTATTTGCATTTTTCTATGGCTAGTGAAGTTGAATTTTTTTTCATGATTGTTGCTGCTTGTATTTCATCTTTCTATTTTTGGATTTGATCTGTGTGTATATATGCATGCATATGTGTATGAAGGTGCACATGTGTATTTATATGTGTGCACATGTGGTGAGCAGGGGACAACCTTAGGTGCCATTACTCAGTCTCCATCCATTTTGTCTTTTGAGATGTGCTTTCTCACTGGCCTAGAATTAACCGAGTAGGTTAGGCTAGCTGGACACTGAGCCTCAGGGTTCTACAAATCTGCCTTCCCAGCACTGGAATAATAAGTGTAGGCTACCATATCTGGCTATTTTTTTCATGTGGGTTCTGAGGACTGAACTCAGGTCCTCATGTATGTTGAGTAAGCACTTTACCAACTGAGCTACCACCCCAGCCCCCACATTTTATCTTTTGATAACTATTCATGTCATAAACCCATTTACTGATTGTATTGTTTGATTTATTGTTGTCCAGTGTTTTGAGTTCTTTGTATAGTCTAGATATTAGCCCTCAGATGATATAAAGTTAGCAAATGTTTTCTCTAATTCTGTTGGCTGTTTCATTACTCAGTTAACTATTTCCTTTGGTAGGCATTTTTTTT